CGGTTGCAGCAGTTGGAGCAGCCGCAGCAGGAGCAGCAGCACCACCTGCAGCAACGGGAACTGCAGCAGCAAGAGCACCGGCCACCGCCGTTGGAGCTGCAGCAAAGAAAGAGACGGTCCCTTCCTGCGTACAATCACTTTTATAAACTCATGGCCCGTTGCAGCTTACTGCTACCGGGAAGGCCTGTTGCTGCTGCGTTTGCTGCCCCTGTTGCTGCTCCTGCTGCAGCTGCTGCTGGCGTTGCTGCTGCAGCTGAAGTTGCTCCTGCTGCTGTGGCCAATGCTGCCGTTACTCCTGCTGTTGCTGCAGCAGTCGCAGCAGCAGAGCCTGCTGCAGCAGTCGCAGCAGCAGAACCTGCTGCTGCTGCCGCAACAGCAGAGCCCCCTGGAGCAACAGCTGCAGGAGCCTCTGTTGCTCATACTGCACACGGTGGGGCAGCAGCAGCAGCAGCTGCTGCTGCGAGCGCCGCCAACCCTGTGGCTCCTTCTCAGTCAAAACCTGAAGCTGCCGGCAATGCAGCAGCAGCAGGAGCAAAGCCGGTTGAAAGTAAAGCAGCAGCAGCAGCGCAGGATGCAGCAGCAGCACCTCAAGCCCTCAAGGAGGAAGCAACAGACCTAGTGGGAATCGGGGCTCCCGCAGAGACAGCCCCTTTAAGCAGCGTCCGCAGACTACCAGTAGTAACAGCAGCAGCAGCAGCAGCAGCAGGGACGCCTCCAGCCGCAGCAGACTCAGCCGCAGTCACCGTCTCTGCTCTGAGAGGGGGCCCCTCTGGGGCCCCTCCCTTTCCGCCTATTTCTGCGTGACACCACCATTTCAATAGTTGGTCCTTCAACTCTTAAGAGGCCCCCAAGGGGCCCCCAAGGGGCCCCCGTCAGTGGCCCCTTCGGGGCCCCTTCGGGGCCCCTTCGGGGCCCCTTCGGGGCCCCCCTCAGGGGCCCCACAGGGTGTGTCTACAGCTCAGTTAGGGCCCCCGGGGCCTCCAGGTGGGGTTCCTGGGGGCTCCTGGGCTTCTGCGGGCCCCCAGCTCGAGAAGCCCCCTTGGGCCGCTTTTGGGGCCCAGCGGGGTCCCCAAGGGCCCTATCTGAGGCCACTTTTAGGGCCCTTGGGGCCCCAAAAGGGGCCCCCAGGGGCCCAAAAGTGGGACCCCTAGGGGCCCTAAATGGGACTCCCAAGGGCCCAAAATGGGGCCCCAGGGTCGTGCTTGCAGCCCCTTTGAAGGGGGCTTTTAAGGTCTTCGCATTTGCCCACAAAAGGGGCCCCAAGGGGCCCCGAGAAAGCCCAATGGGGCCCAATGGGGGCCCCAGAGGCCCCCTTTGGGGGCCCCGGGGGCCCCAGAGGCCCCCTTTGGGGGCCCCGGGGGCCCCCCTTGGGGGACCCGCCGGGGCCTCAACTGTGGCCCCCACGGTGCGTGAAGGAGGGCCCCTGCTAAGGGCCTCCGAGGGGCCCCCGAGGGCCCCTAAGAGGGCCCCCCGGGGGCCCCCTTTTGGCGGCGCAGGGGCCCCCAGCAGCAAACTGGCAGTGTGGGGCCCGCTGCAGGTTTTTAGGGTTTAAAAAGAGACAGAAGAGACTCTTAAAAAAGAGCGTTTAGGGGACTGTTTGGGGTGGGGTGTACAGACAGCTGGGCTGCGCCGCTAGGGTTTAGGGTTTGAGGGTTTGCAGTGCGCGGGTGTACGTACAGCAGCAGCCGCAGCTGCTGCTGCTGCTTCCGGCCCGCCGCAGCTGTGGGAAGGAGACAGAAGCGACGGGGGCTTCTTTTGCTGCTGCAGCAGCAAGCTCGTGGCAGCAGCAGCAAAAGCGTTGCCCGTTTCTGGAGGAAGAAACACGTGTTTTGCTGCAGCAGCAGCATGTGGTTTGCTGCAGTATCAGCGCACCATTAGCTGCGGCAGCAGCGAGTAGTTTGCTACATAGAGTTGCGTCGTGCTGTTAGCTGCAGCAGCAGCAAGCTGTTGGCTGCAGCACAGCAGCAGGACGCCGTCCGCCGCAGCAGCAGCGCGC